GTTGTGGTTGTTGATTGTTGATTGTTGATTGTTGCTTGATTGTTGTTGGCTGTTGGCTGTTGGTTGTCGGTTGTCGGTTGTCGGTTGTTGTGGTTGTTAGTTGTTGAGCTTGTTGTGGTTGTTGTGGTTGTGGCGGTTGTGGTTGTTGATTGTTAATTGTTGCTTGATTGTTGTTGGCTGTTGGTTGTCGGTTGTTGGTTGTTGCGGTTGTTAGTTGTTGAGCTTGTTGTGGTTGTGGTTGTTGTGGTTGTGGCGGTTGTGGTTGTTGATTGTTGATTGTTGCTTGATTGTTGTTGGCTGTTGGTTGTCGGTTGTTGGTTGTTGCGGTTGTTAGTTGTTGAGCTTGTTGTGGTTGTGGTTGTTGTGGTTGTGGCGGTTGTGGTTGTTGATTGTTGATTGTTGCTTGATTGTTGTTGGCTGTTGGTTGTCGGTTGTCGGTTGTTGGTTGTTGCGGTTGTTAGTTGTTGAGCTTGTTGTGGTTGTGGTTGTTGTGGTTGTGGCGGTTGTGGTTATTGATTGTTGATTGTTGCTTGATTGTTGTTGGCCGTTGTTTGTCGGTTGTCGGTTGTTGGTTGTTGTGGTTTTAAGTTGTTGAGCTTGTTGTGGTTGTTGTGGTTGTTGATTGTTGCTTGATGGTTGTTGGCTGTTGGTTGTCGGTTGTTGGTTGTTGCGGTTGTTAGTTGTTGAGCTTGTTGTGGTTGTGGTTGTTGTGGTTGTTGATTGTTGCTTGATGATTGTTGCTGGCTGTTGGTTGTCGGTTGTTGGTTGTTGTGGTTGTAAGTTTTTGAGCTTGTTGTTGTTGTTGTGGTTGTTGATTGTTGCTTGATGGTTGTTGGCTGTTGGTTGTCGGTTGTCGGTTGTTGTGGTTGTTAGTTGTTGAGCTTGTTGTGGTTCTGGTTGTTGTGGTTGTTGATTGTTGGTTGATGGTTGTTGGCTGTTGGTTGTCGGTTGTTGGTTGTTGGTTGTTGTGGTTGTAAGTTGTTGAGCTTGTTGTGGTTGTGGTGGTTGTTGATTGTTGGTTGATGGTTGTTGGCTGTTGGTTGTCGGTTGTTGGTTGTTGGTTGTTGTGGTTGTCAGTTGTTGAGCTTGTTGTGGTTGTGGTTGTTGTGGTTGTTGATTGTTGCTTGATGCTTGTTGGCTGTTGGTTGTCGGTTGTCCGTTGTTGATTGTTGTGGTTGTTAGTTGTTGAGCTTGTTGTGGTTGTTGTGGTTGTTGATTGTTGCTTGATGGTTGTTGGTTGTTGGTTGTCGGTTGGCGGTTGTTGGTTGTTGTGGTTGTTAGTTGTTGAGCTTGTTTTGGTTGAGTTTGTTGTGGTTGTTGATTGTTGCTTGATGGTTGTTGGCTGTTGGTTGTTTGTTGTCGGTTGTTGGTTGTTGTGGTTTTAAGTTGTTGAGCTTGTTGTGGTTGTGTTGGTTGTTGATTGTTGGTTGATGGTTCTTGGCTGTTGGTTGTCGGTTGTTGGTTGTTGTGGTTGTCAGTTGTTGAGCTTGTTGAGCTTGTTGTGGTTGTGGTTGTTGTGGTTGTTGATTGTTGCTTGATGGTTGTTGGCTGTTGGTTGTCGGTTGTCGGTTGTTGCCGGTTGTGGTTGTTAGCTGTTGAGCTTGTTGTGGTTGTGGTGGTTGTTGATTGTTGTTTGATGGTTGTTGGCTGTTGGTTGTTGGTTGTCCGTTGTTGTGGTTGATAGTTGTTGAGCTTGTTGTGGTTGTGGTTGTTGTGGTTGTTGATTGTTGGCTGATGGGTGTTGGCTGTTGGTTGTCGGTTGTTGGGTGTTGTGGTTGTAAGTTGTTGAGCTTGTTGAGCTTGTTGTGGTTGTTGTGGTTGTTGTGGTTGTTGATTGCTGGTTGATGGTTGTTGGCTGTTGGTTGTTGGTTGTCGGTTGTTGTGGTTGTGAGTTGTTGAGCTTGTTGTGGTTGTGGTTGCTGTGGTTTTCGATTGTTGGTTGATGGTTGTTGGCTGTTGGTTGTCGGTTGTTGTGGTTGTTAGTTGTTGTTCTTGTTGTGGTTGTCGGTTGCCGGTTGTTGGTTGTTTTGGTTGTTTTGGTTGTTAGTTGTTGAGCTTGTTGTGGTTGTGGTTGTTGTTGTTGATTGTTGGTTGATGGTTGTTGGCTGTTGGTTGTTGGTTGTCGGTTGTTGGTTGTTGTGGTTGTTAGTTGTTGAGCTTGTTGTGGTTGTTGTGGTTGTTGATTGTTGGTTGATGTTTGTTGGCTGTTGGTTGTCTGTTGTCGGTAGTTGTGGTTGTTAGTTGTTGAGCTTGTTGTGGTTGTGGTTGTTGTGGTTGTTGATTGTTGGCTGATGGGTGTTGGCTGTTGGTTGTCGGTTGTCGGTTGTCGGTTGTTGTGGTTGAAAGTTGTTGAGCTTGTTGAGCTTGTTGAGCTTGTTGTGGTTGTGGTTGTTGTGGTTGTTGATTGTTGGTTGATGCTTGTTGGCTGTTGGTTGTCGGTTTTCGGTTGTTGGTTGTTGTGGTTGTTAGTCGTTGAGCTTGTTGTGGTTGTGGTTGTTGTGGTTGTTGATTGTTGGTTGATGGTTGGCTGTTGGTTGTCGGTTGTTGGTTGTTGTGGCTGTTAGTTGTTGAGCTTGTTGTGGTTGTGGTTGTTGTGGTTGTTGATTGTTGGTTGGTGGTTGTTGGCTGTTGGTTGTCGGTTGTTGGTTGTTGTGGTTGTTGGTTGTTGAGCTTGTTGTGGTTGTGGCTGTTGTGGTTGTTGATTGTTGATTGATGGTTGTTGGCTGTTGGTTGTCGGTTCTGGGTTGTTGGTTGTTGTGGTCGCTAGTTGTTGAGCTTGTTGTGGTTGTGGTTGTTGTGGTTGTTGATTGTTGGTAGATTGTTTTTGGCTGTTGGTTGTCGGTTGTTGTTTGTTGTGGTTGTTAGTTTTTGAGCTTGTTGTGGTTGTGGCTGTTGTGGTTGTTGATTGTTGGTTGATGGTTGTCGGCCGTTGGTTGTCGGTTGCCGGTTGTTGGTTGTTGTGGTTGTTAGTTGTTGAGCTTGTGGTGGTTGTGGTTGTTGTGGTTGTTGATTGTTGGTTGATGGTTGTTGGCTGTTGGTTATCCGTTGACGGTTGTTGTGGTTGTTAGTTGTTGGGCTTGTTGGGCTTGTTGCGGTTGTGGTTGTCGTGGTTGTTGATTGTTGGCTGTTGGTTGTCGGTTGTTGGTTGTTGTGGTTGTTAGTTGTTAAGCTTGTTGTGGTTGTGGTTGTGGTTGTGGTTGTTGTGGTTGTTGATTGTTGGTTGATGGTTGTTGGCTGTTGGTTGTCCGTTGTCGGTTGTTGGTTGTTGTGGGTGTTTGTTGTTGAGCTTGTTGTGGTTGTGGTTGTTGTGGTTGTTGATTGTTGGTTGATGGTTGTTGGCTGTTGGTTGTCGGTTGTTGGTTGTTGTGGTTGTTAGTTGTTGAGCTTGTTGTGGTTGTTGTGGTTGTTGATTGTTGGTTGATGGTTGTTGGCTGTTGGTTGTCGGTTGTTGGTTGTTGTGGTTGTGAGTTGTTGAGCTTGTTGTGGTTGTGGTTGTCGTGGTTGTTGATTGTTGGTTGATGGTTGTTGGCTGTTGGTTGTCGGTTGTCGGTTGTTGGTTGCTGTGGTTGTTAGTTGTTGAGCTTGTTGTGGTTGTGGTTGTTGTGGTTGTTGATTGTTGATTGATGGTTGTTGGCTGTTGGTTGTCGGTTGTTGGTTGTTGTGGTTCTTAGTTGTTGAGCTTGTTGTGGTTGTTGTGGTTGTTGATTGTTGGTTGATGGTTGTTGGCTGTTGGTTGTTGGTTGTTGTGGTTTATAGTTGTTGAGCTTGTGGTGGTTGTGGTTATTGTGGTTGTTGTGGTTGTTGATTGTTGGTTGATTGTTGTTGGCCGTTGGTTGTCGGTTGTTGTGTTTGTTAGTTGTTGAGCTTGTTGTGGTTGTGGTTGTCGTGGTTGTTGATTATTGGTTGATGGTTGTTGGCTGTTGGTTGTCTGTTGTCGGTTGTTGGTTGCTGTGGTTGTTAGTTGTTGAGCTTGTTGTGGTTGTGGTTGTTGTGGTTGTTGGTTGTTGAGCTTGTAGTGGTATTGGTTGTTGATTGTTGGTTGATGGTTGTTGGTGGTTGTTGGTGGTTGTTGGTGGTTGTTGGTGGTTGTTGGTGGTTGTTGTGCTTGTTGTGGTTGTTGTGATTGTTGTAGTTGTTGTGGTTGCTGTGGTTGTTGGGTTTGTTGGGGTTGTTGGTCCTTGTTATGGTTGTTGGTTTTTGGTTTTTGGTTGTTGATTGTTGGTTGTTGTGGTTGTTGTGGTTGTTGGTTGTTGGTTGTTGATTGTTGGTGTTTGTTGTTGTTGTTGTCGTTGTTGCTGTTGTTGTTGTTGCTGTTGTTGTTGTTGTTGATGGTGCTGTTGTTGCTGCTGCTGTTTTTGTTGTTGTGATGGTGGTGGCGGTCGTGGTTGCCGTCATCATTGTTGCTGTTGCTGCAGAAATCTGTAGTGTATGTGGTTGTTTCCCGTTTCCTGTTTAAACCAAACAATTGGATGATCATGACTCCCAAGTTCAAAGACAACTTTATTTATTTATTTTTTTCTTTCCAATGTTATTGAACTTGGGAATTGTCATGTTATTTAGAAATTCCCAAGTTCATGTTATTTATTTCCATGTTTTCTCAGAAAAAATGCCCAACAACACCATGGTTTTTTGGATCCCAGTGGCTCAGACGGACCAAGCCACCGAGCCGGTGCCAGGACAAAACTCTGGCATCACCACAATGATGCAAGCATCCCGACGAAGACGGCAGCAGAAGGGGAATGCGCCATGGGGATCTCGCAGAAGCGGATGGGCCATAAGATGACGATGTCCTCTTAATTAAAACACGTCGAAAAAAAACATTGATCTTTATGTATATATATATGTATATATAGGGGTTTCTTAAAATGGGGAATCCCTAATGTAATGACTTGAATGATTTGGGGGTACCCCCCATGACTTAGGAAAACCTATTCATATATCATTCCACAGGTATAGGTATAGGGACCCCATTCACATATTTTCTTGCCCTGGAAGGTCCTGGGCATCTGAGAATTTCTGAAGTGAAGACATCAACAGAATGGGAAACTTGTGCGCTGGCCAGAAATTTGACTCTGAATCCGAGCTTTCAACAATGATTTTACATTGCCAGGTTAGATTCCTGGAGGAAAACCAACAAAAAAGAAGATTTCGCCACTAAAAGATAGGAATGCACTTGGTCCCCTAGTAGATTGAGTATTGGTAAAATATTTTGACCCATTCTTGGTTTCCTGCTGGGATACCCAGTGCCACCTAAGGTTGCACAAGGAATGCCCAACTATGTCATGGAGGCTGTGCAGTTGCGACGGATTCAAACTGAAGGGGTGGTATGTACATATATATATATTATATCTATGTATATGTATACGTATGTATATATATATATTTATATACAAATATGCACACATATATATATATATATATATATATAAATAGGCACATATATAAATATGCATATATAAAAATATGCATATAGGCATAAATATACAAATATGTGTATATGTGTATACATGTATATGTGTATACGTGTATATGTGTAACTATATATATATATATATATATACATACACATACATATTTGAGAGAGCCTAATTTTTTTCCACAACCATTCAACAATTCAGACAATTCATAGCTTGTGATGTTTTTTGATTCTTGGGAGCCCAGATAGCCCAGACACTCCAGATCATTTGCTCACCATGCATTTATTTTTCATTGGGAAATGCTTCCGAATGCATTCAACATATTTGATCCAAGCGAGGCAATAGAACATAAATTTGTTGATGAATTTCCATGAGTTGCCTCAATGTTGTCAAAAACTGGATATCTCAGGGCCAGTTTCGATTGTCAACGGGCAATGGTCGAGGCCACCATGGCCCAAAAAATCGGTCACCACCGGCAACGGTAACGCCCTTAACGATGGATATATCCAGCCAACATCGGGGGCACCGAACGTGTGATGTTGCTGGTGTGAATTCGTAAGTCCGAGAGTCTCCGAAAAAGTGGGCGCAAATCCCATTGAAATAAACGGCTCAGAACTAAATATGGTCATATTTCAATGGGTTGACATGCTAGCCATTTGTTTGAAGCCAGTGAGTGACTGATCATTTCTTTAGTTATAACCTGTAAATGACATTTAGTGATAAGGTATAATAGCGATAATGAACAATACGTAGTTATATACTAACCATTACACTTATACAAGTAAGTAGCTCTTAAAACTCACTATGGCTGATTCTGACTACAAATGACTCACATAACTAACTCATGTGGTAAAACCAATCATGAAGCATTCCCAACAATCTGACATAAATGGCTTGTAAATAATTATCCGAAATGGTAGGTTTATGCTTGGGTAAAAACCACATTCATTCCGAAAAAAAACACTACAGGATGGGGCCCCCTTCTACGTTATGTTTGTTGATAAAATAAACCCCAGCTAAATATATGTATATAAGTATCATACACTATTGTATAACAATAGTTACATTGCCCAACTTATATAGTTCCCGGTAGGATCCTCCGCAGTGTCACGCGTCAGGACTCTCGCGGCTTTGCTCTAAGCTGTGTGGTGCCGAACCGCCTGGCGCGGAACCTCAGGATTCGTTTTTTGATGGTTAAGAAGTGTGGTGAATAATGGTTACCCTCTAGTAATGACTAACATAACTATGGAAAATCTCCATTTATAGTGGATTTTCCCATGAAAAATGGTGATTTTCCATAGTTATGTTAGTTTACCAGAGGGTATACCCTCCAGTAAACCAACAGTTCGCGAACTGGAAAATGGACCATAGAAATAGGTGTTTTGCCTATTCAATTCTTGTGATTTTCTATAGCTATGTAAACGTTTACCAGAGGGTAATCATGGTTCATAGTGGGATTACCCTCTGGTAGTTTCGTTTTTTGTAAAAACTATGGAAATCAGCATCTGAAAAATAGGTAAATCAACTATTTCTATGGGCCATTTTCAAGTTCGCGAATTGTTAAATTACCAGAGGGTGAATCATTGTTAGCCAGATGAGTTATGTCTAGGGATCATTTTGTTCTTTTGCTGGTTTATTGATGTTCCCTCAACAAAGCCGAATTCAGTTCAGATTCTCTAGTGGTCAGTGGTTGCGTACCTATTCTTGCTATGAATCTTCATATGCTTACATCGCCATTAGCTACTATTGAACACCATTGATACTCTATGTATATATATATATTTATACATACATTTATACACATACATCCATACATAGTAAATGTATATAGGTATATGAGCCACAGCCAAAATGTTGACGTCGCCTTCTTAATTAAAGTGGACTAGCGGAACACATGTTGCATTTTTTCTTGGGACCGAAGCCGGAAAACGAACAACGAAGCCTCTTTCTTGGAAGACCTCCTGCTTCGTCCTTTTTTTCTTTGGCCATTTTCTTGAAATGTGGTTTCTGTCGGTGATTCGTAACGAATCCAAAACGAAGCCAAAATTCAACGCAAACAGCTCTGACCAGACCATGACCTTCCGTTTCCTTCCCTTTCCTTCCCTTTCCGTTTCCTTTCCGTTTCCTTCCGTTTCCTTTCCGTTTCCTTTCCGTTTCCTTTCCGTTTCCTTTCCCTTCCTTTTTTTTCCTTTCCTGTCCTTTCCCTTCCTTTCTTGTCCTTTCCTGTCCCTTCCTGTCCCTTCCTGTCCCTTCCTGTCCCTTCCTGTCCCTTCCTGTCCCTTCCTGTCCCTTCCTGTCCCTTCCTGTCCCTTCCTGTCCCTTCCTGTCCCTTCCTTTCCTTTTTCCTTTTCCTTCCCTTCCTCTTCCTCTTCCTCTTCCTCTTTTCCTTTCCTTGTCCTGTTCCCTTCCCTTTCCTTTTCCCTTTTTCCTTTTTCCTATTCCTTTTTCCTTTCCCTTCCTCTTCAATTTCCTTCTCGTTTCCCTTTCCCTTTCCTTTTCCTCTCCTTGCACAGATTCCTCGATTTTACGGCCCCCAGGAAACGACACCGCAAAACCAAAATTGAAGCCAAACCAAACAGGAATTTTGGCGCTCATATATAGCTATATGTAGATGTATATGTATTAATCCTTCTTTCAGCCAGCTGGTTAGCTTGTTGTGGTTTGAGCGTTGAACAATCCCCATTTTATCCCCTTTGTGACAACTTAAATATCAGCTTAAACCAGACACCTTGGTGAAACTCACCGGGTGAATCATACGATCCAACATGGGAACTCTGCGAGATCGACGGAGGTTGGATCAGGCCATCGGAATTACCAGATATTGCCAGCTTGGCCATCGCTGCAGCCGATCAACCAGCAAAAGCAACAGCCAATTAGCTCGTGAAAACGAAGGTGACAAAGGGTGTTTGGATATCATTTGGAGATCATTTTTCTTATTGTTCAAGTAGGTATTTTTGATGTTATATATATACATATATATATATACATATATATATATACATATACATATATGTATATATATACATATATATATATATACATATTTGGATGATAGAAGTGTTCGGATGATGCCGAATTAACCAGAATTTCCCTGTGGCGATCCCGATTTGTACCTCAGTACCTACGGTTGTGTGGTTGAACGGCAAGCTGCTCAGTCAGAATTTTCCACAGCCATGGAGATAAAGCCCGTGCTGGTGAAGAAAGACACACCACGAAAGGACCGTCCGAGGAAGGCGTGGGGTGGGAAGTGAAAGATGATGTGATAAACCTGATAAAGGTGAGAAGTGAAAGATGATGTGATAAACTTTGATAAACCCTATAAATCAAATAAACCATCCCCAGCAACGTACATTTTCTTGGAATTTTCTTGGAGAGTTTCAGCTACGGTGATCAAGAATTGGGGATAGGTTCATCAACAGCAATTGGGATTTCAGCTAACTAAAATGGTGATGTTAGCAATAGATAAAAAAACAAATACAGTGTGTATATATATATATACATAAACGAATATACAGATAGCTATATGTATGAATATGACATATATGTTTATAATTATATATATAGATTCATGCATCTCTGTATATATATATATATGCACACATAAGTGCGGATATCCTTTTGGAACTGGGACAGTTTCTACGTACTGTATATAACTAGGTTTATTTTTATTAAAACGCCGCGAATGAATACTTGGTGTTCCTCCTCTCGGCGATTGTAAGTCTAGAGGTGAATGGCAGACAGTCCTAGCTTTATAGCAATGGCACATCCACCCTTCATTTTGGCAGTAGGGATTTCCAAACTCGCGTAGATTAGATTTGGATTGTAGCTTCTCTGATAATCTTCGTCCAAGAATTGCCACTTCACGTTTCAGTTGCTCTACCGCGTTTTATCGATACATACTTGTACATATGAATATACACGTACGCATACACATACATGTAATATATATATATTTACATATATGTATATATAGATATATGTATATATATAGATATACGTATACATCTACCTATATTTATGTATATATCATGATATATATCATGATATATATTTGTATATGTATATATCTATAGACCATACAGATCTAGAGCCGCGCCATCGTTTCACGGCATCCGGAGGTGACCCTAGACGTGCCGTTTAAGGAGAGCGAGGTTCGCGAGTTTTCGCTCGGGATTTGACGGGAAAAATGGTCGGGATTTGGCACAAGGTGGTGCCCCATAGTTAGCTAAGTTGGTTTATAACTCCAATAACTATGGTTTATGGTACTTATAACTATAGTTACTGGGGCTTATAAACCAACTTATAACTGGGGGGCATCACCTTGCATGAAACAACTATGAATAGATATGGAAATCCCAAGAGGAAACCATATTACTATCTATCTTTTGCAGTTTTTTCGAGTTTCGACTAGTCCTCCGTTTTTTGGAAGAGCACATGACGTGATTCTTTTTCTTTTGAGTTTTCTAGATGGTTCACCCCTTTCGTCACCTGTTCACGCTTGCAAGGATTACATTTATGTGCATAGAAGATGATGAAACTTAGGACACAAAAAACTGGCTACCCCTCGAGAAATGGGGGTATACGGTATGCCCAACATTTCCATGTTGGGAATCTGTTTTTCGAAAGGAGATTTAATGGGTTCCCCTGTACTGACTATCTTTGGTTCGAGGTCCCAGACAAGGACATAATTCACATCACATCACGACACCCCGAAGAACCTGAATTTCTTGAGGACTTTGGCTCGTTGAAGGGCCACAGGGGGAATCTGGACTTTACAGTGATTTAATGGGATATTCATGGGATATTCATGGGATATTTGATGGCTTGGGGAATGGCCCTATCCCACCCAAATGTTGTTTCAACTTCTCCATTTTCGAAAAATCAGGACGAGGTCGTGATCATCACTGAGCATGAGAAGTTGCCCAAAGAGTCATATCCCAAGGAGTTGAAAGATCACAAGGACCAGCTCCATGATTTCACCAGTGGGATGGTGAAAAGCCATTGAAAGCTCCATTGAGTTGGGGGATTTGCCAGCAATGTTTGATTACCGGGTGAACATGAAAAAAAAAAGCCCATGGAAGCACTTGGCGCCACTTGCGATTTCTGGGATGCACTCCCAAGTTGTGAAAAACTGCTTGTTCAGTGAAGAATGTGGAAGACTCTGCTACTCTGCTGAAATGCTGCAGGGACGGTGATTTCTTTTCCATGGTGTTTTGGTAGTTTCGAGCCTTCAATTTTTTCGAACAACTCCACGCGCACATGCAGGAGAAGCCGCAAGCTAGATCCAACAGCCCTGACCAAAAGACTTTGCAAGATCAAATCGAACAGCTCTGTGGCAGCGATACACTTTTGATCCTTCCAAAAACCAATCACTTTTCCCAGCCTGAAAAACAGGGATGGTCATCTCGCCATTTTCTTCTTGGGGTCTATATATATATATTATTACTATATGTATATATATATATGTATACACAGCCATGATAAGCGACCCCTTTATTGCGGGATAGTTTTCCAAACTGATGGCTTTTTTCAAAGCCGAAGATTTGATGGGGTTTCAGCCCAGCTATCAAGGCCATGACATGGTTGATGGGTTGGGGGCTAAAATCCTACCTGATTGGGGATGATTGACCTGATTATGGGATTATTGTAATCATAGGGATGGTTTTTTTTTTTTCATCATTCAGAAGTTTAGCTCACGGATTATAACAGTGGTTAGAAAAACCTGAATAGGTTATAGGATTATGGTAATCATAGGGATAGCACCTATTCAGAAGTTCGTTGTAGCCATCTGGAAAGACCTCTGTTGTGGTTCCAGAATTGGATGGGACGTTTCCCCCACAGGCTTGTTGCAGAAACCCCGAAAAAGATGCCGAAAGTTCACGTGTTCCAAGAAGATGTTTTTTTTTTCATCTACTTACTACTATTCAGAAATCATTAGATTTTTTGGTACTGAATTAATGGTAATTAGATGATAATGGTAATTTTTCATGGTATTAGATGGTATGTTATTTTTATCATTATCATCTAATTACCATTATCAGCTGGTAATTTTTCATGGTATTAGATGGTTATTTTTATCATAACTTCTGAACATTTAAGCAGCTTTCCCCGATGGCGGTCTCCTATCGCCATGGGATCCCAAGGCTGGAAACCGGCTGGGCCA